CAGGGGCACATGAGCAGGCCAGAGGTGACACAAAGCAAGGGGACGCTTATGGAACACAAGCTAGAGCTGCTCCGCCAGCACAGCATGATACTAGGCGACAGTATTCAGCATAAGATGGTCCTGGAAGTGCCAAGAAAGAAAGGACAAGACAATCTGAACAGAAATGGAAGTGAACTACGAAAAAGAGAGCAAATGTCGAAAAGACCGTCAAGACACCTTATACTGTCGCTGAGATGAACACAGTAGGTGGGACACAATGAGAGAAGCCAGATGATCACCATACAAGAGGTGATACACCCGCATCAAGAAGACCAGACGCGACGCGCATAGGAGTAGATTGAACCAACCACATACAGGACTGGCCCAATCTGCTAGAAGAGGCGGAGCTGCAGAAAATGCCCCAGGTTCGGACACCGAGCATTCAATGCCTGAAACAAAGGCTGGACCGGCCTACATGGGACTACAATGACGACTCTTCCACAAGATGACTCCAATTGAGACAGAAACCTGGGCAACATCCATTGCAATGGCTCTGCATTCGGGGAAGAGCGCCTCATAACTCGGGGAAACTATGGAACCACGCTAATGCGAAGAGTTCCACCTCCGGGGGCCCATGTGACCGGCAGAACCAATTGTAGAAGTCCGCGACAACCGTCCATTCCGTGGACAGGGAAAGGAACTGGGACAGGCCTACCGCCAGGACGTTGGACACTCCCTGGATGTGAACTGCACAGAGAGCTAAACCATGAGAAACCAGCAGATAAGTCACTCGACGAGACAAGCCCCAAAGAACCAAGGACTGACGGGACTGGCCATCTGCCCGAACACTGGACACTCCTCGGATGTGATTCACACTTAGAGACTTAAGTCCCAAGAATCCAGCAGATGGGTCACCTGAAGTGACCATCCTAAAAGAGCCAAGGACTGAATAGAACCCCCGTAGGGTTCTTGGTGGCGATTCAGACAATGAATCACCTGAACACAGTCCAATGGGAGCCTGACCATAGAGCCCCAAGCGACCTGAACCCCCCACCCCCCCCCACTCCCTGCAGTGAGGCCAGACCACCGCAAACTTCCACACCGTGCTATGAACCCTATGGAAGGATGGAACCCACTGCCCCAGGCCGATTTTGTGAGCATTGGTCACAAAACCCCAGCCAAGAAATGAGGCGTCTGGGAACACAACGAGCAAGGGCTTAGGGAGGCGCCCAGGCACCGATACCCGAAAGCCCCGGTGATTCAGCAACCTACGTAAGGCCCACTGGGTTTGAACGCAGCGGTTGCGAGAGTCCAGTGGTCAGTAATCTTCAAATTTTGCTACAATGTACCTACTAATAATTATCTGTTAGATTAAGGACCTGACCTGCTGTAAACTCAATATACAGTACTTTCTTGTACTGTACATATAAATAAATAAATAAAAATAAAATTATGCAGAGTTGTACAAGGTAGGAATACAGCTGTTGTATGTACAGCTCTTCAAATATTTTTTATAATATTTAATCGCCAAAAAACTAGAGTAAATAAATAAATAAAAAGTACCCTACTTTTTTATTATTATTATTTATATATACAAGAGTTGTTACATTCTTATACAGCCACTAGTACATGTAGCTTTTTGGGCAAGTCCTTAATCCTATGTTCCCTTGAATACGACCTCCACGAAGAATCGTTTAACAATCAGGTAACCATTTTACTGTTGGGTTAAACAGAAGCTGCAGTTAAGGATTTGCACTCAGTAAATCTTCCCCGGCCAGGATACAAAACCAGGACAAAGTGCTCGCAGAACGCCAGGCGAGTGTCTTACCACTACGCCACTGACACTACTAGTTTTCCATGGAATATCACCTGATCACTTTACCCCTATTCATCCAGCAGTAAACAGTACTCAATTGTCCCTCCATGTCCAGAGCCCGAGCCCAGACAGATAATGTTTAGGAGGCATGTAGATTGAATGCACAGTCTGTAACACTGCCTGTATTGCTTCTACTTTTACCTATGCTCTGCTGCTGCTGTTTATGCTTCTTTGTTTCTGATTATTGTTGCTGCTTCCTCTTCATATTACTGTGTCAAGCCTGGCCTTAGGCTGGGCTTGGAGTAGAGCAACTCCCATAACCCCCATCAATCAGGTAAGCAAGTATTATTACAGTACTGTATCCATTTTACCATTAATAATTTTTTATTATGGATTATTATTATTAATAGATATGGATATTGCCCTTAACATTTGTATTGCTTTGGTAAAATAGGTCAGATGTTGATCAACTGGTTTGTGAGCGCCTTCAGTGATGGTCACTACCTGCGACATGTTATCACGCAACAGGACCTCAAGATCATGGCCACACAGATCTGCACCCATCTCCTGGCCGCCGGCGTCCTCAACCAGATTGAGGATGTTAGTGCCCCGCTGGAGCTCCTCTTCAGAGTAAGCACTGCATTGATATTTCTTTTGTTTCTATCTTCATTATCAAGATATCTTTTAATTCCAGGGCAGCAGCAGGCTAGTGAGACCCTTGATGAGTTTCTGAGAGAGCTACATAAAATCTTATGATTGTAACTTGAAACCATTTACTGCAGAACAGCCTTGTGAAAAATTGATCAGTGATGCTTTCATTAACCCCTTAAAGGGTGCAATACATATATAGGCGATGGAAGTAACTGTCGTGGAATGGCGCACATTATACATAGGCGATTGAGAGTCCTGCCCAATATATAAATGTCCTGGGGGCTACACGGGGTTCACATCAGCTTCCTCAGGGCTCTAGTAAACAGACGCCATTTAAAAAAAAATCTGAGCAACCTTCCTGGGTGTGAGATCCTTAGTACCGAGTGAGCCACCAAGGCTGGCACACGCAGCATATCACAGCACTGCTGTTCAGCTTGTGACCACAGCGTCGCCTAAAAAGTCAAAATATATATGTAACTGCTATTATTTAGCGATGATAGTATTACAGAAGACCCCTGACTGTGATAAAAATGACCAGGATTCTGATAATGCTGTAGCAGGATTGTGGTGATAATTAGCACTGTGTGTAGTATGGTGGGAGGAGTAATCTTGGTGGGGGAGGGATGTAGTGTTGTCTGCTGACTCTGTGTGGCCACCTGTTATTGTCTGAACTCGCCATACCAGCTTAGTGGTTTGCTATCGTAAATGCAAATGTAGATAGTTAATATATATTGTGTGTATTAATATAATAACTGCAAAAGGCAACCCGTTCTCGCAAATTTAATAAGTCAATATTGACTTATTAAATATGTGCATAGGTGACATACTTAACATAATAGATACCCTTAAAAAGATTCATAGAAAACACCGACCTTACCTAACCTAATTAGTATGTTAAGATAAGCATCTTATTGCTTCGTAATTACAATTATTACCTAACCTATAATAGGTATAGGTTAAGTAATAATTGTAATTACGAAGCAATAAGATGCTTATCTTAAGATACTAACAAGGTTAGGTAAGGTCGGTGTTTTCTATGAATCTTTTTAAGGGTATCTATTATGTTTAGTATATCACCTATGCACGTAGTTAATAAGTCAATATTGACTTTACGAATTTGCGAGAACGGGTTGTAAAAGGAATATGGTGAGAGGAGCCATTTTGGTGAGGGAGATGGGATCGTCGTCATGACTTGTCATGATAACTATGGTCTTTCGGCACCATACCAGCTTAGTTGTACAGTTATGGTGAATAAAACGTGTAGATACTTATATATAATGTGTGTATATTGTGTAATAACACCACAAACAGTATGATTAGAGGAGGAATGTTAGTGCATCTAGTCTTGAACGAGTGAGGGAGGGGGAGAGCGTCGGCTGACTGTGTGGCGACCTCTCTTATTGTCTGGACTCGCCATACCAGCTTCTTCACTATGGTGAACACAAATGTACATACTTATATGTATAATGTGTGTATAGTGTAATAACACCACAAACAGTATGGTTAGAGGAGGAATATTGGTGAGTTGAGGTAGCATCGCCTGCTGGCTGTCGTATTGGTGGCCACTATGTTTGTTGGACACCATACCAGTTTAGTTGTACAGTTGGTTCACACATTTGATTATATAAATATCACACTACACACTTTTGAATAATAATACTGCAAAAAAACGGTGAAAAAATCAATTGGAGACGTTGAAATAATTAAATACAGTAATATCTTTGTGGCAACTCCCACCTGACAGCTTGGGCAGAGCAGACCGGCGCCAATGCTTGCTGTGAAGGCCTCACTTTTACCAGACTTTCCCGCCCTATTGCGGCCAAAATATGTCACCTATGATTTTCTTATTTTTCCCATGATCAAGGACAATTGAAAAACAAAAATTTGAGTTTTTTATTGTTATTGCATCTTGCGGTGTTGAAGGCCATTAGGCAGCCGCCTCCCATGGGTTAATGGCACTTCCTTGCTACTCATTTGTCAGTGTCTTGAGGAGAAAAAGATGCTGGACTAGTAGAGTGCCTACACTCAGGCATACTCATTTGACCTTATCCAGCATAATGTTGATGCTGACTTGGCATAAAGTGCACCGACTGCTGCACTACTTCTATACGTGTAACTTGACAAAGGAAGTTTAGTCCATGAACATCATACACTAGCTACTATCTACTATCTACATTACCAGGAAGAAATGTTATTTCTGTGGTGATGGGTTTCATATCGGAAACAAGTACCCTGTACATGTTACCTGCCATAATTGCAGCAAGAAAGGACATTTTGCTGATGTCTGTCAGGTAAAAAAAATCTGAGTACTACTACTTAATTGTACAATCCTCTGTTGCTATTACACTTCTGTGGGAGCCCCTTCAGCTTCCTGGAGCTTATCGGACTGATATATGCTATACAGAGGAGCCTCGATTAATGAATTTAATCCGTTCCGGCACCCAGCTCGTCATGTGAAACGCTCGTCTTGTGAAACAAATTACCCCATTTAAAATAATGGAAATAAAATTAATCCGTTCCACCCCCGAAAAACATCAATATGAAGTTTTATAATGTAATTACAGTGGAGCCTCGATTAACCCTTGTGTGGCTCCGGGCTATTTAGCATTTGTCACCCACAGGTGCATACAAAAAAAAAAAAAATATTTTTTCTTCTAAACCTGTTAATTTTGTTCACTGCTCATGGGAAAAATAATAAAAAAATCGTAAGTGGCATATATTGCCCGCTATAGGGCGGGGAAGTCTGGCAAAAAACAGGCGCTGACTCGGCGTGTGTCCCAGACGGTCTGTTGCTCGCCAGCTGTCAAGCAGGAGTGGCCACAAAGGGATAATTACCTAATTATTTCAATGTCTCCGATTGATTTTTCGTAGTTTTTTCGCTGTAATATTATTCAATACTGTGTAGTGTGATATATTTATATAATAAAATGAGTGAATCATCGCTGTACTCAAAAATATGGTGTGCATATTGTTGATTCAATTATGTTCATCAAACAGTGAACAAATACTTAGTCGGTTATTACACTATATACACAGATTATATATAAGTATCTGCATGTTTTGTTCACCATAACGAACCACTAAATTGCTATTATGAGTCAAAAAGTAACGAGGAGTGACCGCCACACACCAGCCAGCCACTTGCTGCCACTTGCTGCCACTCATTCCTTAAACACCTCACTCCCCTACATTCTCCTCCCACCATACTGTTTTTGCTTTTATTCACTATATATAGACGTTATATATAAGTATCTGCATTCGTGTTCACCATAACGAACCACTAAGTTGGCATGCTGAGTGGCAGTGGCAGCCCGCCACTGGCTGCTACTTCCTCCCTCCCTCAACTCATCTGACTCGCCCACATTCTTCTCCCACAATACTGTTTGTTTGTATTCACTATATACAGACGTTATATATAAGTATCTACATTCGTGTTCACCATAACAAACCACTAAGTTGGTATGCTGAATGGCAGTGGCAGCCAGTGGCAGCCCGCTACTGGCTGCCACTCCCTCCCTCCCTCACCTCACCTGACTCGCCACCATTCTCCTCCCACCATACTGTTTTTACTTTTATATACAGACGTTATATATAAGTATTTACATGTTTTGTTCACCATAACTGTACATCTAAGCTTGTATGGTGAGTAAAGGCACAAAGACGTAGCTACTCACACAGTCAGCTGGTGGCAGCCACCCTCGAGGCCAGACGCACTAATATTTCTCCCCCAACAATACTGTTTGTGGTGTTATTACGCTATATACACTCATTATATATAAGTATCTACCTGTTTTATTCACCATACTTGTACAAGTAAGCTGGTATAGTGCCCAAAGACCACAGTGGTCACCAGTAAACAACATAAGTCATGCAGACAACGCACCTCCCTCACCAAATGGCGGCACCCAACCTACTCCTATTGCTGTTATTACACTCTATACACATGTTATATACAAATTATATACATGTTATATACATTTGTGTTCACCATAGCGAACCGCTAAGCTGGTATGGTGAGTGCAGTCAATAAAAGGTGGCCACACACAGTCAGAAGACAACGCCACCACCCTCCCTCCCACAGCATTATTCCTCTGTCCATGGAGCACAGCGCTAAATATCACCACAATCCCACTATTATCAGAATCCAGGTCAGTTTTATCACAGTCGGGGGTCTTCTGTAATAATATCATCGCTAAATAATAGTAAGAACATGTATATTATGGCATTTTTAGGCGGCGCTGTGGTCACAAGCTGAACAGCAGTGCTATGAGCTCATGCTGCGTGCGTCAGACTTGGTTGCTCACTCAATACTGAGGCCCCTGACACCCGGGAATTTGGCCCACGATTTTCTTTAAAAATGGCGTCTGTTTACAAGAGCCCTGATGGTCTGGTGAACCTTGTGTATCTGCGGGCCGTTTAAATCATGAGTAGTACTCCAATACATTATATGATGTGGAGCACAAGTTACTGCAAGTCACTGAACACATCATATGATGTGTTGCGCAGTTAAAGGGTTAATGAATTTAATCCGTTCCGGCACCGAGCTCGTCATGTGAAACGCTCGTATTTCGAAACGAATTTCCCCATTTAAAATGATGTAAATAAAATTAATCCGTTGCACCACCGGTATAACATCAATATGATATTCGATTAATTAAACAATGGAGCAGCCTACCTGATATACACTGAACAAACCTTTGTGACATTTGTTCATTTTTCAAATTTGTTCACTTTTTTATCTTTTCATTTGTTTATAGCAAAAGGTTTGTTCAATGTATGTCAGGTAGGCTGTTCCATGTTTCGAAAAAAAAAAAAAAACTGGAGCTACTCGTCACACGAGGTTCCTCTGTACAGTGGGGCCCCTCGATGTATGATGGTAATCCGTTCCCAGAGACATATTGTAAGTAAAAATATCGTAAATTGAAGAGATTTTTCCCATAAGAAATAAAGGAAATAGAATTAATCCGTTCCAAACCCCC